CATCACAGCTCACAGCAAACTCCAACTCCTGGGCTCAAGTGATTCTCCTGCCTCTGCCTCCCAAGTAGCTGGGAGTACACACGCCCTCCACAACACCTGGCTATTTTTTTTTTTTTTGGTTGCAGCTATCATTGTTTTGGTGGCCCAGGCTGGATTCTAACTGGCCAGCTCAGGTTTATGTGGCTGGCACCTTAGTAGTTTGAGTCACAGGCGCTGAGTCAACACCCAGCTATTTTTTGTTGCAGTTGTCATTGTTGTTTAGCTGGCCCGGGCCGGGTTTGAACCTGCCAGCCAGCATGTATGTGGCTGCACCGTAACCACTGTGCTATGGGTACCAAGCCAACTTTTATTTTTAAAGAGGCAGGAAACTGAATGCACTTGTAGTACCCTCCCCACCTTTGTGGGAAGGGGTATGGGGGAGAAGCTAAGGGCAGCACAAACCCAAGTCCACCCCAGGTTCATAAAATAACCAGCAACTACCTCCAGGGCTAGATGGAGAGCTGAATGAGAGAATAATTTTAAGTGCTTTGCATATTGTCTGGAATTTAGCATACAGTAAGTTTTAACTTTCATTATTATTAATATCAAAGTATCTATTTACCTTGATATAAAATGCCCTGTAGTAGCTGCTTCTCCAAATGTGTCCCCTTATTCACCAAGAGACCCAGCCCTCATGAAGTGAATGTGAAGTGGTTTTTACTTTTTTGTATGGAAGGCCTTGTAGCTTGGGATGTCAAACAGATTGTGGTATCAGACAAACTGGCTTCTGATTACTGCTGTACCACTGCTAAGTTGCAATGATAATCATTCCAGATTTTAAATATCTATTACTGTGGGTACACCAGTTTTTATTTGACCAATCTCTTACTCTTGATTTTTAAGGTCTTTCCCTCATTTTCTGTAATGTACACAAATGTACCCTTATCCAGGTATTTCTTTAAAGAACATCTCACATCAAGAGGCTTGAATTTCTTAAATTCTGATATTTTGTTTATTGTTATATTCAAAATAGTAACCCAAAGTCTAGAATCTCAAAAAGGAAACTTAAGAAATGCGTAAAAGAGACTTTTTTTTTGAGACAAAGCCTCAAGCTGTCAACCTGGGTAGAGTGCTGTGACATCACAGCTCACAGCAACCTCCCACTCCTGGGCTCAAGTAATTCTCCTGCCTGTGCCTCCCAAGTAGCTGGGGCTACAGGCGCCCGCCACAATGTCTGGCTATTTTTTGGTTGCAGCCCTTGTTGTTGTTTGGCGTGCCCAGGCTGGATTCAAACCCGCCAGCTCAGGCGTATGTGGCTGGCGCCTTAGCTGCTTGAGCCACAGGCGCCGAGCCGAGAAAGACTTGGAGAGCTATACCTTGATCTAACCTGGGAAGCCTCAGGCTATAAAGATCCTACATGTCTCATACTGTTGTAGAAATGACCAAATTCCAGTGGAAATTCTTAGGAGGAACATGACAGAATTAAGTAAAGCAGATCTCATGAGATAATATCCATAAATTCCTTGGCTATTCTTTTTGTAGTCTTTGATTAAAGCTTGCCAGAACTGGACTTGGTGGCTCATGCCTGTAATCCTAGGAATTTGGGAAGCTGAGGCAGGAGGATCTCTCGAGCTTAGAAATTCAAGGCTGCGGTGGGCTATGAGTTTACCACTGCACTCTAGCCTGAGTAGTAGGATGAGTGATAGAGCAAGATCCCATCTCTAAAAAAAAAAAAAACTTTCCATGACTAGAAACTTAAAAGCAAAAAAGCAAATTTAGGGCAGCACCTATGGCTCAAAGGAGTAAGGGGTGCCAGCCCCGTATACCGGAGGTGGCAGGTTCAAATCCGGCCTTGGCCAAAAATGCAAAAAAAAAAAATTAAGAAAAAATGAGGGAAAAAACATTGTGCTGTTACAAGCAGCTAGTTTAGTTCCTAGCCCGAATATAGATTACTTGTAAATCAGGAAGAAAAAACTAAGCA